TATATATATATATATATATATATATATATATATATATATATATATATATATATAAACATATGTTTGAGAGTGTTTTAATTCCAAATGGCTAGGAAAGGCCTAACTTAATTGTAAATTTAAAGTAAAATAATACCATAATGGCTAACAGATAATCAATAATAAAGCGCAAATGTAACAGCATGTTAAAAGAAAAAAACCCAGCTCCGATCCCTTTCATTTGATTCCCCTTCTATTCCCATTCCCTTTATATAAGTCTAAGGGAATTTCAATATTACAAATTCATTTCTACTAATTAAATTATTGGTCACGTGTTAAATGCGTTTGTAATAATAATAATAATAATAAAGTTCATTTCAAAAACACGCTTCATCCCCAAAGGCTCGAAGCGCGGTACAAAGTCAACAAAAAACAAATTGTAATATTAATTGTGCTTACAAATACAAATTTACAATATTAAACTAAAAAATACAAAAATAAAAAAAATCAACAACATAACACATGTTTAAAAAATATAAAGATTTTTTTGCTATTGCTCCGTGGATAAGCTGAAGATCATGATTTTTAAAATAATACGAAAATCTCCATTTACACCGAGAACTCCCTTTTTTCTCCATAAATTTCCAGATATCCTTACAATGTCAAAGCGACATCCATCCTCAAACGGTACACACAGAGGCGGCAGTAAACCACTCTACAGAAAAGACTTGTCTAGATCTAAAACCAGCCATGTAGGCGGTTTTTTAGAAGCAGGTCGCGCCGCAGCACCGACTTCACAGAACATCATCGACAGCAATCTCGCATCGGCGACAGCAGATGCCATTTTAGAGCCAACATGCGGGGATTTATATAAGGCCATCTCCTCGGGAAATCCAGACGACGTCATTAAACTGATTGCATCATCAGACGGAAGGACCAATGGGCTCCAGCAGACGAATCTCGATCAGGCGCTCCTGGTGGCGTGCAGCAAAGGTCGCAAGTTGATAGTCCAGCATCTCCTGCTCAGGGGCGCCTCCACTGAGACCAGTGACCCCCTGGGCTACACTCCTTTGTTGGTGTCCGTTGAGAAAGGATTCGTAGACATTGTCAGGCTGCTCCTGGACAAAGGCGCTGACGTGAACGCCTCGAACATACGCGGTGATTCGGCCTTGACCTTATCGGTCAGAACATGTGGGTCGAAAGATATGATCGGTCTGCTGCTAAAGCAAAAGTCTGTCGATGTTCATCACAGAAACAAAGATGGCTACACGTGTTGGATGAAAGCTGTGGAAGCTCTGGACTTTGACGCGTTGAAGCTTCTCATCAAATCGAGAAAAGACATCGACAAAGATGTGAACGACTGCAAAGGACAAATGAATACAAAATTAAGCACTGCACCAGAAACCGATAGCCAGGCCATTAAAGGGTTTCATGTCGATGCAATCATATCACTTCTCGAGCGTGAGGCCAAGGGCTCCCAAAGTTCTCTGAGACTTGCAGTATTTCAACGCGATTTATACTGTACTCGGTATCTGATTGATTACGGCATATATGATTCTGGCATAAATTCTGATAAAGAATTGCTGATTGACTTTCTGGAAGACATAGAAGCAAAACAATCTAAACAATGCCCTGTCATCAAGACTGAATTGGAGATCATCAGAAAACTTCTTGAAACTGGCGCTGGTGTTTTCCTAAAGACGACACACAGAGCTGATATCCTTGTCGTAGCAGTGAACATAGGCAGTTACGAGCTCGTTAATTTGCTGTGTCAACATGGCGCCAACCCAAACACTCAATCCGGTAAACCTCCACATCAGAATGCTGTAATGTCAGCCGCAGAAAGGGGTCGATGCGACTTGCTGAAAGTTCTGATGAAGCACAACGCCGACATTCACTGTAACAATCGGGCGCGATACCCGCTGTACCTTAACTCCCCAATTGAGATGGCTTTGCAAAGTGGCGAGGTGAATGCTGTCAAGCTCCTGCTGAGAAGCGGAGCAGTTGTCAACGTAGAGGCGGGGCTACACATTGCAGTGACACATAGACGTTTGCACTCTCTGAGATTTTTGGTCGGTGCGTTTTCAGATCTTGCTCGATCCGCCATTCACAATTATAGCATGGGTCTTATACATAAAGCTGTTGAGACGGGAGACGTCGATATTATCAACACACTGCTGGACCTTGGGTCTGATGTTAACTGTTTGTTTGATGAGAGGACTCCACTCATGAACGCTGATACACCCGAAGTTATGGAATTGTTAATCAAGAGAGGAGCAGACGTCAACAAGCAGAATGACCAGAGGAGTCAAATTAATATCTTATCTTACGTAATATTTAGAGAATTTAATAAGCAAATCCAAAGAGATCTGAAACAAAAATATGGATGGAAAGACGAATCCCCTTCATCGTATATACATTTAAAAGACATGATGGAAATACTTTTGAGAAGTGGAGCAAAAGTGAACGATACAGATTTTATTGGACAGACACCATTGATGGTGGCAGCTAAACACTCTGATGCCGAAGGTGTGTTAAAGATCTTGGTCGAAGCTAGAGCCGAAGTGAACAAAGTGGATTCTAAGGGTGTCAGTGCTTTGCACGAAGCCGTGGTAGGTGGCTGTCTGAAGAATGTGGAAATTTTAATTGAATTAGGAGCAGATGTGAACCAGAAGTGCAATGACGGTCGCACGGCTCTGCACGCCGCTATACATAACGAAGCCATCTTGGGATATTTGATAAAGAATGGCGCAGACCTTGATGCGCAGGACGCGAGTGGAAACACGGCGCTACTAACAGCGGTCAATAGCAATCACGATAAAAGCAGTGCAGGAGTTTTGGGAATATTACTTGGCGCCGGAACTAACGTGAATCATCGAAACGCAGATGGTGAAACGGCTTTAATGAAAGCTGCGTGTTGTCTAAATGACGAAGCAATCAAAGCTCTGTGTGAAGCTAATGCCGATGTCAATATTCGCAGTCTGGACAACACGGAGGACGCCATCTCTATTCTTGTTGGCAGACTGTGTAGAACACACAAGACTCATGGTGAAGTCCGTGACGCAATTTTTTATCTGCTCGACCGTGGAGGAAGTTCTTCATCTGTCAGTCTTCAAAATCTTTACTATTTCATATCGAACGGTTGTTTGACCGTTGTCCAGGGACTTGTAGAAGCTGGCCTGGGACCAGGCGATATTGACGCTGATCAATTACAGTTTAGGCACAGAGGTCTTCGAAGTGGCAAATATGTCTCCCCGTTTTGTTTCGCTCTGCTGTGCAATGAAGTGAAACTAGCCCGTTACTTCTCGGACATTTGGTATTTGACCAACTCAGACGTGACAGCACTGGCCCACGACAAAAGCGCCCGTCTGCGTCTTGAGTACAATCATCACAATGAGAGTCTTAAATTTCTGGAGGAATTCGTGTCAGAACCGATGTCCCTACAAAAATTGTGTTTTGTCGCCGTCTCTACTTCAATAGGAACGGGACCAGGCAGAGAGCGAAAAATCCGAGATCTTCCTCTGCCCAACAAGTTCAAGGACAAACTGAGGTTTAGTGGAGGTTGTGCACCGGAACTACGCTTTGACGACGACCGACGGGAATTGATGTTATTGCCAAGCAGAGCCCACTATGACCTGATTTTCGGCGATCTGGGTGATGAAGGTCATGAAGGTGATTATGAACCTGACTTTGATTATGAACCTGACTTTGATTATGAACCTGACTTTGATTATGACAATGATTTTGATCATGAATATGATTATATTTTCGGATATTAAAATTCGGACCCATTCTCCTGCTCCTTCGGATAAATATTACTAATTATACTTACGAGGAGTATGTTGAGAAAAAAAACAACTCACTCCACTTACATGTGGCCTCTTACTAGGAACGAAACAAAATTAAAGAAGATAACTATAGATGTAATATCTTTCGGACGACGCATTATGCTTTTCATCACATTACAATCCCCCCCACCCCATTTTTTAAAACAATTAAATAATCTTTGATACGGTTAAAAAAAAGAAAAGAAGATAAACTACGTTTTAACGCCAGGTGGCTAAAACCCTGTCTCAGTCGCGTAGCAGGGAAGCAATCCACCAGTATACCATCCACTTTATATATATATGTAATTTAAAAAAAAAACGACAATACCAAAAAAATGTGAAGTTGATAATTTTTAAAGACTGTAAAACAAAACAGCCAGTCCTGTGTTCACGTGAAAGTTCTATGGCTATATATAGTGTATTTAAATGGACATCGCATACTATTGTTATCTGAAAATACGTTCGTTTTTCGATTATTATTGAACTTAAATAGAAACTGTCATTGTAGTTGAATTTTCTTTTTTGTACAACTTTGTATATATTTAGGGTGACATGTTATAAGGCTGTAAAATCGTTTCCGAAATTCAGAAGAAGTTATGCTATTATTGCGATAACATTTGAATGTTACTGGACGAGCGTTATAAATCAATATGAATTCGTTTGTTATTTTTCCATGAACTGATATGATTTTGGAATATTTCAATTTTAAGGTGGTTTATTCTTGAAACTATTTATATCCAGGATTGCACGTTTATTTAATTGATTTTGCGTTTTTTATCCTTTGTTACAAGTGGCCGTCCACAATACACGCCAGGCTATAGGTCAATCTGTCACAAATCCCGGACACCTACCCCGCCCCCCACTTAAACCACGTAAAGTACGCCACACTAGGGCCGGCGCTGGGGGATGGCAAAGTGGGCTACCGCCAAAGGCCCCCGAGTTTGCGGGGCCCCGCGCGTTGCCTTCATATATTGTGTTTTGCTTGTGTCCAGATTACAATGGCTCATTCAGCTTCGTGTTTTCGTTATTTGTTTTCGACAACCTCGCTATTGGTAACAATGGAGCCGCGATGAGTAATTTGGGCCAGTAATTTGTTATAGGAGAAAATAGAGATTTCGGAAACTAAGCGAGTGAACAAATATCCGTTATGACGCGTCCCATTATGACCAGCAAGGCCCCAGTACGACTATAACGTGTCTTAAAATCCTATCGGCGGAATACATAACGTCAACGGCCCCGCAAAACTCAATTTGACCAAGGCCCCGCACCCTCCTAGCGCCGGCCCTGGTCACACTTTAAACATAAAATTAAAAAAAAAAAAAATTGAAACGAAATAAAATATAATCTGAAGCACACGTGACTATTAAAAAATTAAATTTATAAAAGTTACATCTTCTGTCAGAATGCACCCATCACGACAAAAAACTGAACATCATAGTAAATTTCAGGTTAATATAAATATATATATATTTATATCACAATTTATTGCACTTTCTAAGACAACGCCCTCCCTCCTCTGGAGCGTGACGTACTTAGTGGACGGCCCCCTTATTTTTTAAAATGATATTGAATCTTAAAATGTGCCCTAACCAACGTACTGATTTTGCTGATAACTCTGATAACACTTGTTGCGTGATCGACTTCACATGACTCTTCAGGGATCACAGTCCTATGTTTAGCCTATAAATGTTTAACAGCGTCTTTCAAATATGTGCATTGCCCAACACGGACGTGTGCCAGTTTGTGTCCTTGACAATAATTTTAATTTTTAAAAAAAAGAAGTTTTTACATTCTTGATTTTTATTTTTAAAAAATTCTGAAGCAAATCAAAATCTTACTTAATTTTAAAACATGATTGTGAATTCTCACTGTCAATCATTAAATGCCATTTTATTCCCATGTGATAAACTCGCGCGAAAAGGCTTAAACAGCAATTAGATATTTGTAAATTTCAGTTTTAAAATGCTTTACTCCACATGAAGCCATAGACACATCGATCGTAAGAAAAAGACATTTGGCCTATGTATGGTGACGTAATGTTCATAATTTAGTATTAGTAAATATATAATTTGGAGGACGTGAAATATTGTCTTTTTTGTTCGTATTGTTCACGAATTTACAAAACTTCGAAACCGGTTTCAGTTATCTACATTTACGCATTTGGATTTATTAGTTTTTTTGGCGTTATGGTTACCTTACCTCATACATAAAATTGAAGTTGCCTAAGAATTGCCCAAACCCTGAAACGTTGTTGCTTTCTCACATTGTCCAATATGGCTGCATTATTATGAATGGCCACTAGAACAGTGGCCACTGGGACTGTTGCTGTTCGTCACGATCATACCCGGTGTCCCAAAAAAGTCTCTCGGGACGCCTAAATGTCCCGTTTCTAAAACCAAACACATTTTCAAATCTCTAAAACTTTATTCATATGAAAATACTTGGCTAGTAGACCACTAAACAAGATTACCCTTTGATTTGATCAATATCAATACGTAAAATTTTGGCTTGATATCGGAAAAGTCAAGCTTATTATATAAGCCATGAAAATGTTCTTCGACCCAAATTCACCCCCTCAGCTTTAGGAATTAAAGATATGGATGACACATCCCACTCTCTTCATCACAGATACTTAGGATCATCCCGTTCGGGACGAATTTTTCTCTCAGGTCGAGGACTGGAAGATATAAAAATTCTTTTGTTCCTCAATTTGTACGAATTTACTTGCGTGCCTCCGCAGAAGTCACAAAACTAAATGAGAACTGATCAGTTCCTGATATGACTAAGAGAGTTCACTGAATGGCTGTTTTTTTTTCTTCTCTTCATCATTTAATGTAGATGTCTTGTGTTCAAATACTTTTAATTATTGCTGAAACTGTACAATGCAATAAAAAAATAATTCCCTTTTTATCTTATCTTATAAAGAAATTCATTTGTTCCTCAATCTGTTGGAATTTGTCATCATGCATAAGAATTTGAAGCTATAGACATTCATTTGTCCCTCAATCTGTTGGAATTTTGCATCATGCATAAGAATTTAAAGCTATAGACATTCATTTGTTCCTCAATCTGTTGGAATTTTGCATCATGCATAAGAATTTAAAGCTATAGACATTCATTTGTCCCTCAATCTGTTGGAATTTTGCATCATGCATAAGAATTTAAAGCTATAGACATTCATTTGTCCCTCAATCTGTTGGAATTTTGCATCATGCATAAGAATTTAAAGCTGTAGACATTCATTTGTTCCTCAATCTGTTAGAATTTTGCATCATGCATAAGAATTTAAAGCTATAGACATTCATTTGTCCCTCAATCTGTTGGAATTTTGCATCATGCATAAGAATTTAAAGCTATAGACATTCATTTGTCCCTCAATCTTTTTGGAATTTTGCATCATGCCTAAGAATTTAAAGCTATAGACATTCATTTGTCCCTCAATCTGTTAGAATTTTGCATCATGCATAAGAATTTAAAGCTATAGACATTCATTTGTTCCTCAATCTGTTGGAATTTTGCATCATGCATAAGAATTTAAAGCTATAGACATTCATTTGTTCCTCAATCTGTTGGAATTTTGCATCATGCATAAGAATTTAAAGCTATAGACATTCATTTGTTCCTCAATCTGTTGGAATGTTGCGGCATGCGCACCGGGAAGACATAAAATCAAATCGCCACTTTTTAAGAGTTAAGAGTCAAATTGTCATTAATGCAGTGAGGTGTTATGACCCATGATGCCTGGAGTTTACGATCGAGGGACACGTTTCCCTAAAAAAATATATTACATTTCACTTATTTTAAGTAAAATTATTGTTATCTTAATCGCAATGATAAATGTTGGTGGATGTATTATTATTTTTGATGTGCTGAAAATGAATATATACAATTTTATCAAAAGACGTTGCCATTTATTTGGATCAATTAAGTAATCTTTTTTTTTTGTTGTTTGTTTCATTAATTTCACATCAGCTTTTCATTTTATTTTTTTTATTAAAACATCATCAATCATTGTTTGTATTACATCATCAATCAACGCCTGTATGACAACATCATCAATCAAAACCTGTCTTAAAACATTATCAATCAATGTCTGTATTAAAACATCATCAATCAATGTCTGTACTAAAACATCAGCATTCAATTTCTGTATTACAAAATCATCAACCAATATCTTGGTTCCTTGATCAAAATAATACAAATTGAAACTTTAAAAAAATTACTTGTCTTTTTTTAAAATGTTCATTTTATTTATTATTATTGCATTCTTCTCACATTCATAATTGTTAGTCAATAAAATTATGTATGTAAAAAATGATTATTTTATGACAATGAAATTGATTGTTTTTGAAGGGTTTTTAAAAATGTTACAAGTCTTTCAAATTTGTAAGGATTGTTCTTTCATAGTCTCCAAAGCATTTTAAATAGATTTTTAACGTTTTTGACACGTTCTGTGTATCTCTCAACATGAATTCTGCAATTTGCAATGCTACGTGTCAGCGTAACTTCTTCTGTTGACATTTGTTTTGCTTCCTAGATGGAGTAATTAAGTTAATTTATTTTTTTGGTGTAGTCAAGTCTAAAATTAAGAATCCCTTATCTCACCTTTTTTTTTCGTCACCTTCTTGTAATAAATCTGTACGGCCAGACCTCACAGCAATCTGTCAATGAAAGAGACGGCAGAAAGAAAAACAACAGCATTATGGGTAACCCCCACTAGGGCCTTCCATGCCATGTAAGATTTG